ATGCCTTACTCCCCGACGTGGAAGCCAAGGCAGGACTCCATGAGATCCCAGTGCTTCTCTCTCAGCCGCGTCACTGTTATTTGAAACCAATGAATAAACTTTTAATATTATTATACATGTGTTCATATGAATAATATTTGAACAAATTATTATTTCAAGATTAGGAGCTATTTATTAGAAGTAGGCTATTTTATGGATTGATTTTATTTTCCATCTCGAGAATATTCCTTTTTTTTTTCTATTTTCTGATCAAGGTTCGACTACGTAGATTTTCCGACCTTGAGTCTGGCTTTTCCGCTGTGTAATGGCATTTCTATGGGAGCTGTTTTGGCTCTCGTCCAAGTCGGGGTAAACCAACAACAAGAAAAAAATCCAAAACTGCCTGAATACTTCCATTTAAGAGGGAGCCCCAAAATGTCAACTCATCATGGTAATGCGATGTTTACGTTTGAGAGCACCTTGCGATTCAGGAAAACAAAAACGGCTCCTGAAATGGCTCTCTCGACATTGTGACATATAAAGTTTGGCAAATTATTCTGTTGAATTCCAGTTTAATTAGAAAATTTATACATAACCGTTTAGAGATGAGTAATTAGTCGACTGATCAATTATTAGGATGAAACAAAGTTATCAGGAATTACAGCCAAGAAGTTTTATTAGGTTAGCCGACGTTTCGATCCATGCATGAGGGTCATCGTGGGCTATGTCTTGGGAGTCGAGACAAGAACTATGTATCATTTAATTTTTATGTTTCCGGATTTTAAAAGATAAGTGTTACACGAAAAGTTGAGTTACTTGAAGATGAGTTACTTTTTACAATGGTGAATAAGTGTCATTTAACAAATATTTCGATGTTTTATAAGTGTGGCCAAAACTTTTAAAAACTAATGATGTAATTTATATAAATTCACTCATTTGCTCAAACATTCCTTTCGTGCAGTTAGGTATTGCTAAATCATTTCAAAATATAAAATGGCGTGTGACTATAATAAAATATATGTGAATTCATTAAAATTCTGTTAATTATTAATTTCTTAATTTTCTGTTTAGTAGTAATTAAAATTTATTAAAACATTTTTTTCTAATAATAACCATGAACCAATTAATAAGTGAAGCATTCACAAGTCAAATCGACCTATTCCTCCAATTTTTTTTATTTATTATTTTTATTTTATTTTATTTAAGATCTATCTGGTTTTGTTAAAAACTATATATAATTAAAGTAACAACGAATCTATATAATTTGTGTAACAAACCTACTTAATTAACAACGATTAACAACGATTACTACTTAATTAACAACAAAAACCTTAGGCGAGGCTTGAAACCTTAATTCATTATATTTTTAAACTATATTAAGATGTATACATTTTTATGTTGTATTAGGAATAACTTTTCAATCATCAATATATTATTTGGAATAACTATTTAATTATTTATTAGGATTAAAAAAAAAATTAATTCTTATTATATTAAGAATTAATATAATATTAATTTAAATTTATTATTAAATTATATTAAGATGTTATAGTAAGCAATAGAAATTTACCTATGTATACGTATTTGTATCTGCTTTTTTGTTTTCACGGTTCTTTATTTTAAATTATAATGGTAGTTTCTTCTTCCTTTTCTGGAAAGTACTACTTAATAAATAATAACAAATTTGTAGAGATATTGGTTGAGATGTTAACCTTAAAATAAAAAGTAAATATAAATATTATTTATTTATTTTTAAAGGAAGGAGATGGTCCGGGGTTGCGTAAACATAAATAGGCTTAATAGTGGTAAAACTATTTTATTGAAAGCCGATGTTTCGACCCGACTTTGCAGGTCTTCTTCAGGGAAACATCAGATCTAAGGGAAACTCCTAGCTGAAGACACCTTCCTGAAGAAGACCTGCAAAGTCGGGTCGAAACATCGGCTTTCAATAAAATAGTTTTACCACTATTTAGCCTATTTATGACTGCAACCCCGAACCATATCCTTCCTTTATTATAGAACGGTCAACTATTAAATATTCAATTATTTATTTTTACTTTTGACTTAACACCCCAACCAACCAACTTCTCTTCAATTTTCATTATTATCAACCATCAATCTACTATTAATAATAAATTTGAGTGTCTTTAAGCCCTAACATTAAGTATTCATTACCAATCTCCCTAACAAATGTAAAATTTAATACTATTTGTTTTTAATATGTATTAGACTAACCAATAATTGAGCGTGTGCTTCATAAGATCTTGAATTTTTTTAAATTTTTAACTCGACGAGGCGATACACACTTTGGAAAAAGATACTAGTAGTGATTTTTTTTTTTCTGTTGGAATTATCTCTTCTAAATCTTTTGCCGCCTGAGCAAGGCTTTTCCCTCTTTGCCTATCTTGGGCTATTTCTTTCCAGTTGTCTGCATGTAGCATATTTGTTTATTCGATCTGTCCATACCATTTAGGCCTTTCGCGTGGACTTTGGCCTAAGATTCATCCATTTATTGTTGTGTAGATGCTTCCTGATGGATTTCTCCTATCCACATGCTATACACATCTTAACCTCCTTACCTTCATATCATGAGATATTGATTAACAGTTTCTGTAAAGATCTCTTAAACTAATATAATTAATAATTGTACTTTTAATTAACAACCCATTTGAACATGAAGTTTGATTATTTACTGAAACAAATGGAGTTGTCTTGCATGCATTTTACATAAAGGGAAGAGAATTCTTTCCATTCATATTTTATTGTAAATTGAACGAAACACTCAAACAATAACTTCCAGCGGCTAAAGACAGTAAAAACTTGGAACCAATTGTTGATTAAAACAATTCCCTAAATCAAATTCATCAGTAAGCTTTAGATTGTCGAAGAACTGGTAATCCTCCCCGTGCCATTGAAACGTTTCAAACGAATTCTCATTTAAGACATTAAAGTCTCAAGTTATTCATCAAAGAGGCCGCTTCGAGAAGTTGGCCGAATCTGAATGCTCCTCCCCCTCCCCTACCCTCGCTCCCCCAAGGCTCTGTAAATACAGGGAGGGGGGAGGACCTCTGTGTCTGAGAGTTGTCCATCTTTCATTGCTGCCAACTTGAAAGTAGTTCAACTTTACCTATAGCACGCCCGCCATTATGAGACTTATCGACAATCCCTCTTCCGTCGACCGCCTTGTCAGGAAAAAGCAACCAAGAACAGAAGAGATTTGTATTCGGAAAAGTTACCGACGTCACTCGTTTGACTGATGGCTGTTCGGCCGATCCACTTTAAAAGTCAATTTCCGTCGGAACCGTTCAGTTCTGTCAGTTCTTGCGGTCGGTGAGGGATTCCTGTTTTTGTTAACCTTTATTCAGGCTCTCATTAACTATTACCTCCAGTTGTTTTTAGCTATTAATTAATATTACAATTATATTTTATTAAATGTATTAATGTATTTTTCTTGTTCATAAAATTTGACATTAGAGAGAACTATGTCTTATATTCTACTGTGGTATATACTAAGAACTAACAGGAGCTCCAAAATGATGAACAGTCAAACACCAGTCGTGGAAACTATTGAATCGTGGTATTTACACCTTAAATTTTTGCAAGTATCTTAGCATATTTGTTGGATTTCAAACATAACAACGAGTCATTTAGTTATAAAGTTAAATTAAATATTTTCATTGAATATTTTCTCGCACCACCGTCAAACAGAAAATCGGACTCCCTCCGCTTTTTGTGCAACAAAGGATTTTACATAATTATTATATAATATAAGTTACGTTATCTATACTTACAAAAAAATATAAATAAATCTTGTTTGCCTCAGCCACAACCCCCTACCTATAGGGCCTACCATTTAGTTGTCATTATCTAGATAATGAAAATTTAATTTAAATAATCATAGCTTGGATTTCTTTTCTAGTTTTAATTAAACGTATCTTGTGCAAGAACAATAAATGAAGATGATGTAACAGTATAAAAACCTGTCACAGCCGTGCGCATCGAGTGTGTTTACTTTTTTAGAACAGATATTTGCTTTTCAAAATTATAATTATATGATTCACGAATCGTTCCTTTCTTCCTGAATATAGAGCACTAATGAGTGAGGAATTCGATTATTCCCCAGTTTAAGTTTCTTGTCTTTATAGGTTTATAGTCTTGTAGAAGAAATATTAAGCTTGTTGTTAGGAAAGAGATTTTGACGACTATCTTTTTCTGTTTTGTTTTTTTGTCATGTTCCCATGTAAGTGCCTTGTTTAAATGTAAATTTAAGTCACGAATTTATCCCTGTAGAACAAATCCGATACCTAGGACTCCAGCTGGACAAACGTCTCACTTGGAATCCTCATACAAGACTGAAACGACAAGAAACTGCTCGACGTTTCCGCTTACTCCAACACTTACTGGACAAACGCTCGAAACTTCCAATGAATTACAAACGACTCATATACATGACTATAACAAGACCTATTTGGACTTATGGAGTTGAGCTATGGGGCTCCACAAAACCATCAAATTCCTCTCGTATCCAATCTTTACAATCCAAAATCATTCGTAAAATCCTCAATGTTCCATATGTTTCCGATTTGGCCAAATCCAGATACCTATCCTTCCATAATAAACTTCATAACCATCCGAATCCTCTTGTTTCTAACCTTGCTTCCTCTTCGATTCGTGATAACCCTCCGAGGCGTCTGAAAAGAAGATGGCCTCGTGATCTTCTCATGAAGACAAATTATTAGAGTGCTACCAATGGGTAGTTTCTCAACAATCGTGTTTCATGTGATAATATTCCTGTGTACACATTTACTTGATGTATTCATATTAATACAGTTGTAAATATCATAATAAAAGTTTTAAAAAAAAGTTACGAATACCGTGCATTACATTGATTACAGTGCTTTACCTCTTGCGATTCCTTGATTAGAATAAATGTGCTCGAAAAAATTGATGATTCAGTTTTCTTAGTAAATAAATAACTATAAACTTTATGTTTCTGCCATATTTCAGTCTTACTATACCTTTCAATTCGTTCCTAGAAGCATCCTATCGTTTTTGAGGTGCTCTACTATCCTGACATCCAAGTGGTGATATTTGATAGGTGAGGAGTAGAAGGGAAAAGGAAAAAGGAAAAAAAATTGAAAACAAGAAAGGTGAGGGGTGAGGTGGCTGGGAGGGAATACAAAGTGGGTAGAACTGCCCCCCAGGGCGTCCTCCGTATCCCAGCCCATCCACCGCTTCTCGTCCGCTTCCTCCTTACACCTCACCCCATTAATTTCATATACTCTTCTACCACGGGTGGAAGTCAGGCCGAGGTGGATATATCCTTCTTGTATATAATTATCCTGCAGTTTTAGGACTGAAAAAGTAAACAATTATTTTGATCAAGTGAATAAAATATATTTTACATTAAAAAAAAAAAAAAATTCATAAAAAGAGATCAAATTTAAATGTAGCAAATGAACATTAAATTGCCTGTCAAAACACTTTGAAATTTAGAACAAAAATCACAAATATTTAATCACGGTGGCCTGCGGGCCTTTTTAAGGATCTGATCAGAACCACTAACTCACAAAAAAAAAAAAACGCTGCAAATTATTTCACAATAGTTATATACAATATTTCCAAACAACTTTACATCTAAAGTAACATTATCTTCCCTTCCTAGTTACAAAGAAAAACAAATAAAAGGTGATTTCAATTATTGGACTAAACTTTTTTTTTAATCATTATTAATTTGCTAAAAAAAAAAAAAAATAGCATTACTTCAGTAACACATTCTAACTTTAAAAGACATACAAAGCATATAACATTTGGAGTAGAACATATTTTAAAAAAACTGGAGACCATATCTGTGCTCCTAATTGTCCGATTTTAACGATTTTTTTTTTTTTTTTTTTTTAGGAAATTCCGTAAACTTTTAAAAAACCATACAATATCGAACATCAAATTTTTGAGAGGGGATTAATTTTTTGAATGTTTTATTCGATCACAAAATATTTAAAAATAACGATACGGTTACTAATAATGCTTTGATTCCGGTGAAACTTTCTTCATTTTTTAGGAAATTTAAATGACTTTGAAACATCTTATCACAATTTCGACAAATGAGTTTATATCAACAAAAAAGTGTATACTTTTTGAGTTATTCGGAATTAAAGTTTACCATCCTCCGTAACTTTTTTTCCAGCTTCTTTTCGTTGAAGTGTGTTATATAGATAAATTTAAAGGGCGTCAAGAAAATGACTTTAGCGAAGTTTCATTGAAATTGGTTCATTCGTTGGGAGCTACAGTGTATAGCAACACAGATTTGTCGGCCGCCATTTTGAAAGTAAAAGGCGGATACTAATGTCGATGAAGGAGGATCTTACTCGGGTGACCTCTGATTTTATATCCAAATTTGAAAAAAAATCGATCCAGTAGTTTCGGAGAAAATGCGCGGACGGCGGACGGCGTAACATTTTTATTCGTTTTTAGAATTCTACGCATCCTGAAACGTGAAACCTCAAATTTTGAGAGGGAGTTTATTTTTTCGTCGATCACAATGGTTGATTATTGAAAATAATAAACCAATATGATTCTCTTAAAAACATAATTTCAGAATAATTTTAAATTTTTTATTTAAAAAATTGAAATAGTTGTTTGAGGATTTGAGAATAATGGAACTTATTGTTAGTTATTACCAAACTCTTTTCCCCCAAATACCGCTGATTCCTCGTTCAATAAAATCTCCATGTCGGGTCATCTCTCGTATATACCATCAAAATACAAAGTAAGCAATGTTTATGTTTATTTTTAAAAATATTAAAGAAGTTATCATTGCAAAGGATTATTAGGAGAAAACGATAATAATTAACTATTGCAACCTAAAAAAGAAGCGAATTAAAATAACAAAACATAAGGAGGAATCAGATTTTTCTTCACTGTCATCAATTTTTCAAATAATCTTCTTGATATTGTTATATTTGATTTTTATTGTCTTTGGTTAATTCACAATATACCACTAAATGACAAGTTTTTATCCTCAGAAAAACTTAAATGAACAGAGATTTCTAAGATTTTGTTGTATTAATGTGTTTACTAATATTTACTTAATTATACCATCTAGTTTTGTAATGATGTATTAACCGCAATTAAAACCAGTCAACCACATTGTATTGAGGTTGTAATAACATGTTAATTCGATGCATTACCGCATCATTTGTATGTATTACATCAAATTTGCCGATTGTTATGCATATTAACATTTGCGAATCTAATTTTGAAGTTATATTAAAATCGAAATTAAATTGCCTTTTTGTTGTTAAAAAGGTTATTTGGAGCATGTCCTTTTTTTCGAAATAGCTTTATATACCTATAAGTTATTTGTCGCTATGTTCTAATTAAGGTGAAATTGTAACGAGGTTTGCTAGGGCCTGTTCAAACTTCCCTTGCCCTAGGCTGTTTACACAGTAGCCTTTGACCGATAGGACCAACCCACGCACAGTGTTACAATCAATAAATAAAAATAAAAACAAACAAAATATATTTATTTTTAATCAATGCAAGGCACGCAGGATTTAACAGAACTGATATGTGATATGCCTTCGAGACATTATTTTTTAGTATATTTGCGTTTCCCCAGACTTAAATTTTTTAAAATCAATTTTGTTCAACACTAGTTCAAGATATCTGTATTTTATTTAATTTTAACTCTAAGTTACATTTCCTTGGTTTATTATAGTTTTTGCCTTTGTTATATAGATGTATAATTTTTTTATTTTTTTATTGTATTATATATATGGTATGAGTGTGCTTTACTCAGCCTTAGTACTCAGTGCCCTTAAGTGTGGCAAAATGTATTATTTTTCAATAAACACATTAAAAAAAAAAAATGTTCAAGAGAGTGATTGCCATCTTATGCCGATATTTTACCATCGATGCTAACTACTGTGATTTTATCTACTATCGGTACCGTCCCTTCAATATTTTAATATTTTATTTTGAAAATAAAAATTATACAGAATTATATATGAATCTGATCGTTAGGAAAAAATATATACTCATCTTGCCTTTTTATATAGAATGTAGTGCGTAGTAGAAGAAAATATCGAAATTTCTAGTAGAGGAATTGGTATTTTCATTAATTAATTTAAAGAACAAACACATATACATATATATACATATATATATATATATATACATATATATATATATATATATATATATATATATATATATATATATATATATATATATTATGCGCCTGTGTATTAGAGAATCAATATTTATATTGATATTCATATTTCAAAAATGTTTATAATATCGATGAAAATATCGATTATCGATATGTGGGCTTCGATATCTCATACTTAGTTCAAGTATAGAAAAAAATCTTTTGTTATCCTTTATCTTCTTAATCAACGAGCATAAAATCTAAACTATCACCACATACAGATACTCAGATATTTGTATGTGTGTATAAGTGTATATATGAAATAATACACAGTGGGGAAAAATTATTGTTCCATATTAAGACGGATTATTTTTTAAATAAATATTTATCGCTACCTATAACCTTTAGAAAAAGACCCGAAGTTTCTTAGGTTGTTCCTTAGTAATTCGATAGTTGATATTATATTAAAGAGTGTAAATTAAGACATATCGAGTGTTTAGGTTTTATGGTGTCTTGTGAAAATTGGTAGTAACCTATAAATAATTGAACATTCTCGAAAATGGGGTGATGGAAAATTTAGAATAATAAACGCAAGGCTTCTTGGGGCCCTCAGGCGAATTATCATATAATTAAATTCTAAAGTAGGTTGAAAAATAATTGAAGTCCATCAAGGGAACTAAGTTGTAGGCTTTAAACGGAACATTTACTCCTTAAAGTTGGTAGGCGCGGTTTCCTGAGAAGTTTAAATACTAAGTTAAAACTTCAAACAGTCCGGAGTGCTCGCGTTATATTGTTGGATCTGAAATTTCCTTAAGATCAAGGATTCCGTGAAGACTTGAGATGTTTTCATGATCTGTATAACTACCTCCGAGCAAAAGGGGGCTATGAAATAACTTACTTATTTCTTACCTTTTGGTGAGAAATTTCATCGAGAATTTGAAGTAATTTCAACTAAGTTACCAATTATTTAAATAATCGTTTGAAAAAATGATCATATTTACTGACATGGTATTTTAAATAATAACATATGTATAATAAATTCAATGTAATAAATAAATATAAGAGCTGTTATAAAATAATGTTATAAATACTTAGGCTGGTTTGCTTGAGAATGTTTGATAGTAGATTGTTTGAAAAACTGGCTTTATCAATCAATTTTCCAAAAACAAAAAAATCACTTTACCTGAAATCTCTAACCTGATTAAGCAAACATATTTTTGTTTAAAACGTGAGATTCTAAGTATTTTTTTTTAAAGACGAATTAAAGGAAAACCCTTTACAAAATTTCGACAGCATCATCATTTTTTTAAAAAATATTGCTTAAATTTATTATTCACTGTCATCACCATATATGCCGATGACATATGTATCCTATCAGTCAATAACGATCCATCTATTGCATCCCAAACTCTTCAACCACACATCACAAGTCTTGAAAAATGGTGACAAAACTGGAGGATTAAAATAAACTCCAACAAATCCCATCAATTACCTTTACTCTTCGTCGTAAACTTATGACTTCCTGTCCTACAGTATCCTTTAACAATACCCCACTTATCCCTGTTGACCAAATCCGATACCTAGGACTCCACCTTGACAAACGACTCACTTGGAACCCCCATATCAGACTGAAACGACTAGAAACCGCCCGACGTTTCCGACTACTCCAGCACTTACTAGACAAACACTCTAAACTGCCAACTATTTACAAAAGACTCATATATATTACTATAATAAGGCCTATTTGGACTTACGGGATCGAGCTTTGGGGCTCTATTAAACCATCAAATTCCTCTCGTATCCAATTCCTACAATCCAAAATCCTTCGTAAAATCCTTAATGCTCCCTACTTTGTCACAAATAAAATCAACCATAATGACCTTAATGTACCATATGTTTCCTATTTAGCTCAATCCAGATACCTGTCCTTTCATAATAAACTTCTGAACCATCCGAACCCTCTCGTTTCCAACCTTGCTTCCTCTTCTATTCGTGATAACCCTCCGAGGCGTCTAAAAAGAAGATGGCCTCGGGACCTTCAAATATAGAAATATAATTGGAGTGCTACCAATGGGTAGTTTCTCCTCATGTTGTACATGTCATATTACTTGTTCATATTTACTTGTTGTATTTATTATTAATTACAGTTGTAAATTTCGTCATTAAAAAAAATAAAAAAATTATTATTACTTGATTTTATAATA